ATAAATCATGCTAAGGGACATGCGTGAAATAGAGGGAATTTTCTCTCTCCTACATATACAAGAGTAATACATATGAGCCCATTGATCGAATATGACCGTAAAATGCATGGCCGTGCTTAAATAAGTTAATCTGAAATATTGAACTTATTTGTCGTTATCAAATGCATTTGAGGATCAAAGAATATAATATTAGACTATATAAGGGTGACACATTCTATTTATTGTGTTTAATACAGATACAAGAGTAAAAGAGTAATTATATACATGATCGTTATAAAAAAGGTTATGTCATATCACACGAAATTCTCGTCACTTAGGCAACAATGATGTGTTGCTAGACACCGCTAACTGTTTATAATATTAAATAAGTAATTTAATATTATTATTAAAGTTAAGAGAACATATAAAATCACATACATAGATTACTGATAGTGAAATGAACGATTAAATTAAGTAGGATTTAGTTTAATTATGTGTTAATAGTATTTAAATTATTTAATATATTAACACTTATATAATTTATTTTATTAAATACGATTTAATTAAAAGAGTTTAATTTAATAGAAAAAGTATTTTATTTTATTTAATTAAAAATGTTTAATTAAATACAAATAAGATTTGTCTTATTTTTGAAAAGTCTAAAATAAGAGCATTAGGGGTTTAAAAGCTTTATATATAAATAGATGAGCTCTTTCCCCTACCAAATCTAAATGATTGCCATTCTCAGAAAATAACTAGCATTGTGTTCCACTTTGTTGTCTCGAGAACTATGTAGAGACGATGATATCTTCCATACTCGTGATCAAAGTTAAAACACACTTTAAGAGATATTTATATAATTCAAATTTTAGTGTTTTAATTTGTGATTAATGATTTAATCAAGATCCGTTCATCAGTATTGTTTCGCTTAGTGGATCAAATTTTTTGAAAACCCCTATTAAATCCCTTCATCTTTAATACAAACCAAGCTGATCTTTAAGCTTGATTAGCTCAGGCTTTCATTTAGGGCAGACTCTTGTTACTTTTAAGGCATGTTACTTTGCTAAAAGCTACCTAGAGCCTGATATATGCATGAGGTGTGCTCTCCATCGTTATATTGGATTTCTTCGCTGAAAATAGACTTGAAGATACACACTTTCTCTAGAGTAGACCTGGGGGTTATGTATGACCAGTTCTATTAGTTTGCATCTCTACCTCGTAGTTTTACATCTTCATTGTGACTTTGATCCCCAAGGTTAATTCCACCTCTCTTTTATGGGGTCTTTGAACAAACTGGTGGCTAGAGTGTTGGCATTTAGACTTGGATCAATGATGGATAAAATCATATCCCCTAATTAACCAGTTTTTCTTAAAGGGGAATATTGGTGGATGATGTGGTCGGTGTCAATGTGGTAGTTGACATGACCAAGAAATCTAAAAGAGCGTGCCTCATTCTTAAGGTAGATTTTTAGAAAGCATATGATTTAGTTAGTTAAAACTTCATAGATTATATGCTTATCAGATGCTGGTTTAGTAAGAAGTGAAGGTCTTGGATGCGAGCTTGTGATTTTGCTAGTAATCTTATGGTGCAGGTAAATGGGTGTCCTACTCAATATATCAACATCCAAAGGGGTTTGAAATAAGGGGACCCTCTAGCTCCTTTCGTTTCACTTCTAGTGGCTGTGGGACTTAGTGGTCTAGTCACTAAGGCTTAAGAGATTGGTCTTTCCTATCAGTTAGGGATGGAAATGAGCCGAGTTGAGTCGAACTCGCCTCAACTCAGCTCGACTCGTTAAGAATTGGTCCAGCTCAAATCTCGATTCGAGTTCGATACAAACTTTTTTTTTTAAAATTCAAACTCGACTCGTTATAAGTTCACGAGCAACTCAGTTCGACTCGTTAGGTTCAACTCGCTTGATTCACAGACTTAAAAGTAATTTTTTTAAAGTCTATTTTTTATATATTTGACATTTTATATTAATATTATTTTAAAAAGAAAGTATTAAAATAAAATAAAAGTTATTTGATTGAAATTTAAATTTTTCAAAAAAATATACTAATTAAAAAATTCATTAATTTATATGATTCTAATTTTATTTGTATAATCATTTTTAGAAATATTTTTCCCACTTGAGAATATAAATTATCAATTAACACTGTTAATTAAAATAAAATATAAGGTTAAAATTTATATTAAATCTTTAAAACTACTCTTAAAGACAATATCCTTCTCATATATAATCGAGTTGGCTCATGAACTTAACGAGTCGAACTATGTATAGTTCAAGTTCAACTCATTTAGTTAACGAACTTAGTTTTTCGCTCATATTTAGCTCATTAGGTTCATGAACCAAGTTCAACAAATTAATTATCGAACTGAGTTCCAAACTATTTTCGAGTTGATTCGGTTCATTGCCAACCCTACTATCGGTACAGGGAGGACACATCTAGGTTGGTTGTGTCTCATCTTCAGTATGCTAATGACACTCTCCTTGTGGCTAATCATACTTTGGAGAATCAGTGGATATTTAAGTCTATTCTTAAAGGTTTCAAGCAGGCTTTGGGGCTTCGAGTAAATTTCTCCAAGAGTAGCCTTATAGGGGTTAATGTGGATTCTGTCTTTCTTTTTCTTTGTTAAAGACTTACTCCACTGTGAAATAAATTATATTCCTTTTAAGTATCTTGGAGGATAATTCTCAGCTCGAAACCATTTGGGATCTGTTAGTTAAAAGAGGCTCAATTCTTGGAAGCATAGATATATCCATTTGGATGGTAGAGTGGTTCTCCTTAATTCAGTGCTTATTGCTATTACCATATTCTTTTTGTTTTTTTTTTGTTTTCTAAAGATGCAAGTAAATGTTTGGAAAAATCCTATCAAGTTACAAAGAAGGTTCATTTTGGGGGAGTGAAAGGCACTTCAAAAATACCCTAAATTAAGCAGGAAGATGTTTGTAAACCTACAAGCAGAAGGAGGGGAGGGGGCGATCTTCTATTAGTTAATATCGCCCTTTTGGAAAAATGGAGATGAAGGATGCTTAATGGGGATTCATGTTTATGGTGGGATATTCTTGTAGCTATATATGGAGGTCCAATAGTTTCTTCTCTTTGAAGAGGGATGACCAAGGGTTTTTCACTCTACTTCTTCCTAGTGGAAAAATGTATCTTTTCTTAGGTCTAAAGAGGATGATATCTCAGATTTATTTGTTGATGGTGTCATTAGGAAAATATGGTCAAGTACACAAACTTCATTTTGGAAGGACCCTTGGTTATGGCTCATCCCCTTAAAGATTAAGTTTTTTGGTTTATTCTCAAACTATGTTCCGTATGATTGGTTGGTAAGAGAAATTGGTTTGATAGTTAATGAGATATTGACTTGGGATCTTAGGTGGCAAAGATCCCTTTTTCTTAAAGATCTACTTGTTTTTGAAGAGCTTATATATTTACTTCGAGATGTCACCCTCTCTTTGGATAGAGACAAGTGGAGTTGGAAGCATTCTAGAGAGGTTACTTTTTAGGGGCCTCCAGTTACCTTGATCATATAGTTAGTTCAATATCTTATTTGGCCCCTCTTCCAGCTGAGAGTCGGATCCTCTCTTATCTGGATTAGTTAGGCTTCTTTTACTATCTTAGTTTTCTCTTGAGAACATTTGTAAGATATATTCCCAACTAGAGAAAACCTGTATATGAGAGGGGTGATTTCAAATCCTAGTAGGATCGCTTGTCCCTTATGCAGGTGTTCGGTTGAGACGAACTCATATCTCTTTGTTACTTGCGAGCTCATCTTGTCTGTATGGTATATAATCTTTAAGTGGTTATCATGACATGTAGTTATTCCTAATGATGCTATGATGCTTTTTGAGTATTTTCTTTCTTTAGGGGGTAAGATTAAGTATATGGGTGATTATATTTTGATTTGGCACGCTATAGTCCGATCCATCTGAAAAACCCTTAATGATGTCATCTTTAAAGGGGTCACAAAATCAACAAAAGAGGTTGAGGATATGCGTATTATTTTGGTCTAAAAATAGTTTATGGGTAGATAGGGGTAAACTATTACACCTTGACTGAATGCCTTCAAAACCCTATCCTTTACTCACACCTATAGAGGATCGAGTGTTTGCCTTGGTTTGGAGGTATGCTTTGGCTTTTGATTTTTTGATGCTATTTTGATGGGATCTGATATGTTGAGGGTGGATCTGGCGGGTTGAGATCTAACCTGTAGCCAACGAAATTGACTTTGTTAGTAACTTGATCCTTTATCTGTGAGACATTTTGATCAGTATGTATTAGTTGAGTTATTTTTACCGTCAGTTTTTCTTTTCTTATACTTCTTACTCTTTTGTTGCCTTCTGGAATTTGTTGTGTTTTACGACTTTCAATGTTGTATTTGGGTGATTATTCATCCCTCATTTTTATTATATTATAATTTGTTCGGAAAAAAATGATACTCAATCTTTCAAACATGAGTCAAGTAGGGGCGAGAAGTTTTGTGAGACCAATAAAAAGATTGAACATTTATATAGTCTTCAAAACACAAGCACCTATTTGCAAAATGTTTCATTGAGACCGACCAAGAAGACATATATTTACACCGCCTTCGAAGTATGAGTCTCGTACTTGTGAAATTCTTTGCTTAGATTAGTCAAGAGATCATACAATTACCATCATATTAAATAAATTATGTGGAACTATAAAGATGGAAGAGCCTTGCCATTTTAAAGATCATAAAATAGCATAATTAAAATCACAATTTATAAAATGAGATAAGTAAAAGTTAAATTTTGGTAAATAAAGATCCCCAAATTTACATTTACATTTTGGTAGATCAAGTAGATAGATCTCTTTTGATGAGAAAAAAAACTTCATTACAGAAAAATAAATCTCCAACGGTTAGAAGTCAGAACAGCGTTCAGTCCGTTACTCTCATAACGGTCACATTTACACTCTTCACTACACATCTCTCTCTCTCCCTCTCTCTCTCAACTCTTGCTGATTCCTCTCTCTCTCTGGTGTGGTAATCAATGGAACCCGCGAAAATCGATTGGAAGAATCTAGAATGGAACTTCGCTGTAGACGAACTCTACGAACACCTCAACGCACCCAAATTCGTCGACTTCTTGTCCCTCAATCATAACATCAACAACAATGACGACGAAGCTTGGTTTTGCAAACCTGGTTTGTTCCTTTTTCTTCTCTATTTATGAATTTTCTCTCTTTCTTTCAAGTTAGTTCTCAGTTGAGTTTGTTAAAGTTTCGATTTTTATCAATGGGTCTAACATTACTCATTTCTTGTTTTTGATGATGTTGTTGTTGTAGATTGCAATCACCCTAAAACAGCAGAGGATTTTCTCAGATCACCAAGCCCTTTCAAGGTTTTGATTCTTGTTTTCTACATTTCTATTTTTGTTACCTTGAGATCAAGATTTCTACTTTAGCTGGTTTTCTATGCAAGTGTTCATTGTTCTGAGCAAGGTTATAAATATCGGTCGCGGTCACATAAAGACTTTTGTGATTTGTCGGTACACAAATTGCGGTCGTCACGATGTGAATTAACCTAATTTATTCTTTATTTGCATCTTCTGATGGCGGTAACAGACAGTTCAAAACCTTGGTTCTGAGCTTCTATATGATGTTGTTCTAGTTAACTGTCTTAGAAAATGCTCTTTTTTTTTTGAACTTTTGCTTTCTTCTTTCATAATGGTTAGAATAAGGTTTAATGGTAGCGGTCGTGTAAATACTTTTGCGATTTGGGTTGCTACACGTTTTGAAACAGTGAATGTGGTCGTTATGGTGAATTAATCATAATTTGTTCTTTAGGTTTCGGCACTTTCTAATACTGTTTTGTCGCGGCCGTTCGCGGCAATTGACCTTTTTTGAAACCTTGGTTTGAATTAGAAATCCATTTTATTTTATAGGCTACTTTCTATGCTTGTGTTCATTGTGCTTAGCTTCTAATATGATTTTATTATACTCGATCGTTTTGTTAATTCTTTTCTTGTTTTTCTGTTATGAAGGCTAGTAGAAGTCCATTTTATTTCTCAGAAAATCTTCCAAGTAGTGACCAAAGTAAAAGGTACTTGTATCTGACTAAACCCTTTCCGTTTCCATTGCGATTCGAGATTATGCTGAAAGATTGAGTCACTGATTAGAGTTTGTGTATTTCTATAGAGATATGAAACTCAAGAGAAGGGTGCCACTCATTTCATCATCTTCTCCTCAAGATGATAAATTCAGATTCAACATAGATAGCGAAAACCAAAACCCGAATTTGGCCACTCCTCAATTAAAGTCCACAAAGGCTATGATCAAGTCAAGTGATGAGAAGAAGAAGCCAGTTGATGACGCATTGCAGGACAACACGGCGGGGACTTCATTGAAATCGACTCTTTCCGCGAAGAATTTATTTTCGAGACGGCCTATTTTGAATCAAATCACAGAATTCTGCAATGAATTGAAGAGATTGGCAATAAGAGCTAGGGAGAGGGAAAATACTGAAAATTTGAAACCAATAGAGAGTAAGGAAGAGGTTGTTGTGCATGAAAAGACTCCGCCGGTTAAAGCTTTGACAGAAAGGAAACCACAGCATGAAATGGGAAAGGTTGAAAGATTGGATGGGACGGGCGTTAAAGGAAAGTTAAACCGAAAGAAGTAAGCATTCTCTCTCCTAGAATCTTTGTTTATCTTTAGTTTTAGCCAGTAGTGAATGTAGTCTCAAAGTAACTTGGACATTGATAATAGTCTGACAGTTCAAATCGGTTTGTCAGACTATTTACGATCCGAGATCTTGGACAAAATATGATAATTTGATTGACTACGTTTCTATTGGTAGTACCGACACTTCAGTTCGTACGCATGAGACAGTGTCTGACACCGATACTTTTAGTTACATTCAATTACTTATTACTGATGCCGTAGTGTCAAGTTGTGTCGATTGTCCAGTGTCTGACTCTGATACTTTTAGTTACATTCAATTACTTATTACTGATGTCGTAGTGTCAAGTTGTGTTGATTGTCCAGTGAACGTATCAATGTTTGGGTTTCACAGGTGTTTACCGAAAGCTATCTGGTCTGAATAAGATAGGCAATTTAAAAGTGAAACTTATCAGAATTGCTAACTTTGTGCTGGTTGAATTTACTAGAAACTGAATACAACACCAAGACTTTTCTTAGCTAATTATATTTGCATTACTCTTGTATCATGTAGAAGACCCGACGAGGCAGAAAACATGCCTATAACTCTTGACTTGGAGAATGTAGGACACAAGAGGGAGAATAATATCTTACAACAGATTCGAACAAATCCTCCTTCTCCTCAGTGCTTCTCTGCAGGACTCCCTAAACCTAACCCTTCAAAGGGTTCCAGATCCCGGCTAATGGTATGTTCAAACTCTATGATTAAACTATTCTTATTGATCGATGATGACTTACTTACAAAACAATGCTAACATTAGATTAGACAATCAAACTATTCTTATTATTATCATGCCGCAAAATTGACGACGAAGCTTATCATGCAGGAGAGAGGAATACTTGAAGAAGTTGAGCAAAACAAGGAAGCCGCAATGGACTCATTAGCACACAACAACAGCAAAAGTATTACAGTAAATGATGGAAGAGAAACCAAAGCCTTGGACATGTTTTGGTTCTTCAAGCCTTGCACAGCAATGTCAAGCTGAATTTCACTTGAAATTACTCTGGCTCAAAAGTGATTATAAATTCTTTCATTCTTTTATTTGTTGTACTATATAAGAATTTGAAACTGATGATTCAATACACTTGTACTGAACCTGAAATTTATCAATAAATTGTTATCTACATCTGCATGTGACTTATTTGAGGAACTTTTTTTTGAAAAAGCCAAATTGCAAATTGCATGAAAACAATACAAATTGCAGGCAAACACATATTACATTGTGCTGCACCAACAACAACATATGCAACATTTTAATCATACTAAGAAAGAAATAAGTTGGTAAGCTAGATCACTGCCACCTCCACCTCCAAACCTGATATAATCCAGCCACCTTTCAGCAACCAAGCACCACGATCCGCACAACTCCAACACACCGCTGCACCGAACAAAAATTCAAGCGCAATAACTACCCAGCAGTCGAGAATTAGGGAACAAGAACCAATGGGACACAGCAAATTAATCGACTAGATTTGTTATTTATCCAATTCCAGGATCTCCTTTGTGTTGATTCGAACACTTGCTCCACCGAAACATCTATGTTATTCTTTATATCTTGTTGCATCCTATATGCTCCAAATACAAGTAAACATCACTTTTAATTTGTTGGCATACAAGTAAACATCCTCTCTACCACCCTAAAAGAAATTTTTAAACATAGATTCAAGTTTTGAGACAATATCTTACGAGATTTGAAAAAGGTGATGTTTATATTAATAGTAAGATATTATTCCAGATTCATCACCTTTTTCAAATCTCGTAAGATGTTTATATTTTACGAGATTTGGAGCATATATATAATAGGAAAGGATGACTCTGAAAAAGGTGATAAACATAGATTCAAGTTTTGGAGCATATATATAATAGGAAAGGATGACTCTGGAATAACTAATAGTACTAATTTTAGCATTACCGCGCGACCACCAATGAGAAGATGTTTATATTTCCGTTTGGAGAGTTTAGATCTAACTGTATCAATCACCATTTGCAAAGATTTTTTGGATCTCAGATTCGTTCCTATGAGAATCCTAATGTAGCTGAATGAATTTTTTCCTACCTTGCAATTTTGAATATCAACTGCTTCTTGAATCCAGCAGGGGCATATGTTTATAATGATGATGTAACTCTTTTGCAATTTGACTTTTTAGTCCAACATCAACTAAAATAATATCAAATATGTCTTTATTATTTTGATGTTCCCCCAATTTTTTCAATGATTATTAGTGTGTCATCCGCATATTGTAGATGTGAGAAAGTTTCTTCTTCTTTGTCTAATATGTATATAGAGAATTTTGTCATCTCAACTAATCTTTTCATGAGAATGTTGAATCTTTCAACCACAAGTAGGAAAAGGAAAGGGTATACCAAATCTCTTTATCTTGGGTTAAAATCTGTGGGAATCGGCCAGAACCGTTTAAAACCGCCAAAAATCGATGAACCGACAGTTTTGAAAAACCGACGGTTCAAATGCATGTTTTTTTTGTTCATAATAACGACGTCGTTTTGATAAATTATTTATTTTTAAATAAAATTAAAATATAAATAGAATTTATCTAAAACTTATTTGGAACAATTTTTCTTTGTTTGTAATGAAATATTGTTCAAAATTTATTTGGATTTGTATTTTATACTATTTTGTCGTGTATGATGTCTACGTCAAGAGTTTGAATTTAAAGAATGAAATTATGATATTTTAAAATTATGTAGGTGTCGTGATATTTTTTAGAGACCGAGTCATCCTGTTCGACCAATTTATTAAATATATAGTTTTTTTATAGAGATTGGTTTATTCAGCCGAGTTATCCGATTTAATCATGCGGTTCAACCAGTTCCCCAAGGGTTCGTCCAATGAACCAGTGACCCATTACCTTCATTGGTTTGATAACCGGTCCGATTTTTAAAACATCGTTTCACAGTTTAACTTGAACACCATCACTCCTTTTTTTCTTGCTTTTGACTTCATCTATAAATTTGTTTTCTATTAGAATACCATTAAGAATTTTTTTACCTGTTATAAATGTTGATTGCATGTTCGAGATGACTGACCCAATCACCTTTCTAAGCATGTTTGCTAGAACCTTTGTTACAACCTTATAGATGCATCCTATCACAAAAATTGGTTTACACTTAGATAATTTTGTCGGATTTATTTTCTTTGGAATTAACACTATGAAAGAACAATTTTTCCCTCTGACTATTCGTCTATGACTATTAAACTCTGACATAATTATAATAAAAATAGTTTTGATATCATCCTAAAGTTCTTTCACAAAGCCAAAATTCCCCCCGTCCGACTCTAAGTTCTTTGAGGAGTTGTTTTATGTTTCAACTTTTAACTCTAGGAAATCAATATTTTGGTACTCGAAAGTGAAAAAGTTAGAACTATTAAACCATTTTCATTGTAGATTAAAATTCAATTTACTCCCCCTATCATAACATTTTATTAGGAAATATTCAACATATGGTGATAATTATAGAAAATGATCAAGCTCTTACCATATTTATTTTTATACAATTTTTAATATGTTTTTTGAAGTTACAAAATCAAACACTTATCAGTATAATATATATATATATATATATATATATATATATATATATATATATATATATATATATATATATATATATATATATATATATATATATATATATATATATATATATATATATATATATATATATATATATATATATATATATATATATATATATATATATATATATATATATATATATATATATATATATATATATATATATATATATATATATATATATATATATATATATATATATAATATATATATATATATATATATATATATATATATATATATATATATATATATATATATATATATATATATATATATATATATATATATATATATATATATTTTAAAATATTTGTCCAGTTAAGACAATTCATTTGGTAGCTCTATAGATACATTCGATTATGGGGGGCGAGTTCAAATCCGCGACATCCCACTTATTCACCTTTAAAGGTGAAATTCCAATCACTCAGCTACTAAATAAAAAGTGTAATATTTATTTATTTAGTTCTTTTGTGAAATTTATTTGAGGAATCAATAAATTTAACTTTTATGTGATTTTTTAAAATGAAATGTTATATAATTTTTTAAATAAAATTTAGATAATAAAAAATACCTAACACAAACCCTAATTTACCGAACACCTTATAAATGAGTGATTTCATTATGTTTTGCAAGACAAACAAGAATCAACGCCGTTCTTCAAACTATATCGACGAATATCTTATTCTCTTTCCAAACCCTGTCATCTCGCATGGATGTAGACAGATAAATATGATTTTTACTGTTGATTTTTAATTCATTAGATTATATATTCTTATGATTGAATTGATTTTGATGATATGTTAGCAATAGTTATACCATTGACACCATTGTTTTTTTAAACCAAGATATATATGAAAAATCTCATATCATTCGTTTTGTTTTGGAATTGACTGCATCTGCTTTTTGGTTGTCTTTTTTTTGGTTGTTTTTGTTTAATCTTAAATTGCGTCATCTTGTTTTCATTAGACCCACTTACGAGGCAACAAATGAGTGGTTTTGTTAGGTTATACAAGGCAAACAAGAACCCCACGTCGATTCTCCAAACTATATTGATGGAGACCTAGATCTTTTCTCAAACCAAGATATCTCACATTGATGTAGAGTGATAAATATGATCTTTATTGTTTATTTATAATTCATCTGCTTATATGTTATTATGATTGAATTGATTTTGGTGATGTTTTATTTTAATGATGATATACATGTAAAAATCTCATGTGATTCATTTTTTTCTTATAAGTCTGCAGTTTCTTTTGTTTGTCCTTTTTAATTTTTTAATTTTGTTTAATCTTAAATTGTGTTTTTTTTGCTAGATCCACTTGCGCGACAACAAAAATTGGTTCATCAAACGATGACTTTATGCTTGATCAAATAAAAATAATCAATGTTCTCTTAAATTTCTACGCTTTCACTATTATGTTATACTTTATTATTTGTTTTGGTAATGTTCAACACAAGTTTTTCTCGACTGTGATTTCATTGATTAAAAACAAAGCATTGAGAAGAGGGTTATGGTCATGCACAATCTAGTTATTCTTTCAGCACACGCTCCTTCAAAATAATTCGTTGGCATTTTACCTTTTATAGCCCTAAGAATTTCAGACTTGACCAAGACTGTATTTGCATCGTTGAACATCATTTCCAACAGAAGTTAAAGATGAAAATCTGTCTATGGTTGTTGAATGTCAAAATCAGCTTGGGTCAAAGTTTTTTCCTCTTTAGCTTGTTGTTATAGTTCGCTTGATTGTACTTTCAGATTTTGTCCAATTTGAATCTGTAAGGAAGGACCGTGATTTTCTTGATTAACAACCAATGTATTTTGGTGATGAGATGAATTAAAGTTAAACCCACTTGACACTTTTGATTCTTCTTTGAAATTTGTAAGTTTTCAGATGCCATAAAAATTATATATACCAATTTATTTAAAAAAAATAGTGGACTTAATCATACGATAGAAATCGTGATGATTAAAAACATGTCAAGAAACTTTGTTGAGTTTTTAAATTCAACGCTGAAGGATACTCACAACCTCAATATCATAACTTTGGTCAAAACAACATTCTGCAAACGCGACAAAGACACCAAAATAAATGGCGAGACATTGTAAGATGTCAAATTATCCATAATTTATTTTAATTATGAAGCAACACATATCTGAATCTTGGTTCTCCTTCAGCTGTACACAACTTTCGAAACTGTAAATTCTTTAAGAACTTCAATCTTAAATCAAACTACCTTCTTATAACCAAAACACTCAAAAATTTAGCTAAGTAACAAGTTTCATAATGAAATTGGGAATAATTTATTCATTGGGAAAACTCAGGAAATAAAAGCTTAATATAAGAAAAACTATGATGAGATAACTATTTATGCCATAACATAACTT